TACTTCACAGTCAAGGCTTTTGAAGAGTCTGAAAAGCACTTTTCTTATATAGTCATTTGTTCTTCAGCTGTCTTGTATTATCCTCAGTCTGTCATCCCTATACAGGCAGTAGTTGTTTACCTTATTCATTCTAATGCTTAGATATATATCATAGGTAGAATTTATATAAGTGTGCTGAAATGTTCTTGACAAGAGATTTTTAATTTGGGGTGAATATGTAGAAAGGTTTGTATATTTCATGGTTCTGGATCATTCTTCTGAGAGATTTTTAGTACCTTTTTTTTTTTTTTTTTTTTTTTTTAAAGTTTTTCATTCTCATCCAAAGGTTCTAACTTTGGCTGGATTGTTCTCTGGACTGACTGAAGCAGTCATCATTAACCCATTTGAAGTTGTGAAAGTTAAACTTCAAGCTGAAAGAGACGACATCAGAAAGGTGAGCCTTAAAAAAAAATTATGAATGTTTTAATTTAATAAGCTAAAAATATATATATTTTTTTATAATTTTTATTTTAAGCAAGCAAATAAATTCACTAAGATGTAAGAGCTCATTGAGTATTGAAAGTTATAAGAAAGGAAGATATTATTAAGGACAGAGAACAATAAGAAATTGGAATTAAGAAAATGTTAGATAACAATTGATATTGCATTTAAATTTTTGAAGATCGAATATGAATGAAAAACAAGAAGCTGAAAGAGTGTCTCACCTGTGAAATGATGAGACCTAAGTGCCAATCTAGTACTGAATTAAATTTGTAAAGTCAAGGTACCAAAGAGAGAAGCTCTTCAGAACCATTACCATGAAAATATTTATAGAAAGGGCACAAGGAAGCTGCATTATGGCAGTGGGAAAGTGACTGAAGCTGAGATACCAGGTCAGAAAAGGAATATATTGCATATTTTTCTTTGTATTTTATCAAGAATCTTTAAATACATAGCAGAAGCACCATACCAGATGTGATATCAATATGATAGATGTATAAATATGTAAGATAGATTCTGCTAAGAAATATTGTTTAGCACAACACAGTGAGCCAACTTTCTTAGCTATAGACTTAGCAATTTATTCAATATAATCTTTCTACTTCATATCAGTAGTAATGTTATCCTAAGAAGGTACAATGAGTCACTGCTGATAAAGAGTAAAAAAGTCAATTAAGAGAGCAGTTTTATTTTCAAGGTATTAAAATTAACAAGCCATTTCTTGCCCCTATTAACCACAAATTGTAGGTCATTTTTGGAGATCAGCTACAAATTTGATTTTATCAATGTTATTTTACCTTTGATAACAATTTTTATAGACAGAATTTTGGTTTACTGATGCAGTGGAATTTTGACTTGTCTACTTTAGGAATTTCTAGAAAGTGGTGCTTTTAAAAATATTTCACCACAAATTTTTTATTTCAGATACATAGATGATTCTCTAGTAATATATCCATAAGACATAATTTTATGCAATCTTGTCAACAAACTAAATAACATTGAACCCACAATAGACTTTACTTTGAATCTGTGTTTAACAATATTTTACCCTTCCTAGATACATACTGCACAGAAATAATAACAAACTTCCAACTAGAATAACCTGATCAATTTTTATTCCACTAATGTGACAAGATCAAATCAAAAGCAATTATAGGATTCTATTTAAGAGCACTAAGAATCTGCAGCCCCCAATACTTACCCAAAGAAGAAATATACGTAGAAAACACTTTCATAAACCTCAAATATTTCTATTATTTCATCCACAATGCTAAGAAAAAGGCATATAAAATATACAACTGCAAAAAAGATAACAACATTATTAGCAATAATAAACTAAATAAAACCCTTGCATTTGCTTTGATAAAGTCCCTCAGTGGACAAAACATATTGGATGGCTCTTGTCTTTATTCACTCGCATATATCTATATATATATGAATTTCCTTTTGTCTCATGTTATATATAAGTTATATATGTATATGACAGAAAGTGTGACATAGATATCTGAAGGTATATGACAATAGTAAAGTATACTTTTCAACTAAGCAAGATAGTAAAAGATCAAAAATGTAAAAACAACAAAAAATGCTAGACTACTATATTGCAGTTAATGCTTAAAATTTTGTCATAATTGAAGCCAAAACATGAACTGACCTAAATATAATTTTTCTGATAAATTTTGAGAATATTATAGTCAAAATAGGTACTGCAAAGAAACTGATATTTATAATAAAAATAAGCTGACAATTTTGGTTCATATAATGGGGAAAGAGAGCTTTGAGAATTTAATGCTCACAAGGTATACTGAAAACGAGAATCAGTAAGAAATCTAGTTGATAAGTTTGAGCAAATGGATGGTAGAATAAGTACCAGAAAGACAAAGTGGGAAGCATAAAAGAGCAAAGATTATTTAGAAGCAAAAAAAGTTGTGAAGCCATGTCCAGCTATGTATACTATATCTAATAGTCTTTGAATTTCTTACATAAAGCATCGTTATTATTATTTTTTACTAGTTTTCCTTATTTCTTTTGCTTTTACACCTATTAATAACAGTCATAAATTGGCTGAATTTCTTAGGTGATGCATTGTCATTAGTGTTGTTGTTATTAACTAGTTTACCAATACCATAAAGATGACAGCTGTATTTCAGTAGCTTTGCAATAGTATTGATTGTATTTTCTGCATGAATAATCTATGATTTTATTGATAGAATTAACTTTTTAAATATCCAAAGAAAGTTAACACAAAACAAAAAGAAATAAATATCATATCCCCTGATATCCCTAAATACTAATGAGATATTTTGTTGTAATATGAAGCACAATCATGTATTGGTGTCTTATAATACCACTTGTTAATATCCTAAAATATCTCATTAGTAATAGAGACCAGTCTGTGTCCAATAAGTCATATTGTGTTTTATATTAAAATTTTGGATGTTATCCTATTTCCTTTATTTTATTTCTGTTGCTTTTATTACCACTGTGAGATTCTAAAATTGTTAAGTAAACAACAAAAATGAAAAGTAAAACTCTAATGAAATTTAAACTGTCTTTGTTTCTCATTATAAACTCTGCTGTTTACCAGCTTTGAACATCATATTTAGATACTAATGTTGATTGATAAGTAACGTCTACAATCCTGTAAAGTAAGATTTTAGACCAGATAGAATAATGAAACTCATCTGAAAATGAAGTAAATGTATATCTTTTTAAAATTACAAATATATTTGTGAATATAGTCACTGATTATAGCTGCATATTTTTCCAAACATTTTATCTACTTTTTCATTCCATCTATGAGAAATATTTCTGATTTGCTGTTTTGATCCAACTGTGCAGAGCAATTCCAACATGGGCATCAAACTCCTGGATAATGAATATTACTATCATTTAGTGTCTTCACACAACAAACACTAAGCCCATTTCAACAGGACTTTACATTTTTTATTAATCAATTCACCCCAAACAAGGTGATAATGCTGCTAAGGTGCAAGGTAGTGCAAGAGGATGAAAAAGACTTTAGAAGGAATCAAAAACCCAATCCTAAACAGGAAATAAGGGATAAACCTTTACTCCTGTTCAAAAGCCTAAAGAGGGGTGTGAACCAGACAATAGGCAAATCTATCAATGCCTATTACTGCACTATTCTTATGCTACTGAATGCATGTTGAAACAAATTCATATCTCATAATGGAGTAATAGCAAGCAAACTGAATTTATAGTGATTTTCATTCTCATAAAGTTTCCTATACTTGTGGTTTTATGCTAAATTAAGCTAATCTTAACAAATAATGTATTATTGATCAACTTTGGTATATTTTTTATCTGGTTTGAAATAAAAAAATTTGTGATCCCTACATTGTCTAAGATAGCAAACTACATTGGCTTAATATTCCTCTGTGTGCATATATATGTGAATAATAGTTGTTAAATGATAAAATGAAAAATATTTTTTAATGACATATTTCATTTAAAGAAGGAACTTCTTCATTTAAAAGGGCTTCTGGGCACAGAGTATTAGTAATCTCATTGGATGCTAAAATAAATAATTTGAGGATTCAACTTTAGAAGAATCAACAAGGAGCTGTTTATAGGAAAAACATAGATATCTAGTTGAAGCCAGTGAGAGAATTTCTTTGTGCTAGGACTCACTAGGAATTGGAGTTGCTTATTTTATAGGTATCAAAACAATAAATACATCTTACTTTGTGCTTGCCCTTATCTGAAAAATTGTTTTCATGATATATAGGAGAGGCTGTTCAACAGCTAGGTGTGTTCTATTGCACACAACTTTGGGTGATCAAGATTTCTGTGATGCATGATGATGACCCAACTTTTAGTTGAAGCCTGTAGGGAGGAACACAAAGTAAGTCAAGTGAATTGAGTTCTAAACAAACTATGAAGTTCCAAGAATTGACAGAGTACAACTTGTACTTTTGAATCACTCTAGGAATCTATTGCAGTATCTTTGAGCTTTTCTTTGAGTTCATCATTCTTTGGAATAATAATGACTTACTCATGTAACTACTGGTAGTTTCTGTAGTTTGGGACCATTTTGTATCTTTAGAACATCTGAAAAAAATTAAGTTTAAGCATGAACATTTTAGAATTATTGTCTGAAAATATTTTCATAGTTCACAATGTTTTACAAATAAAACTGAAAAGCTTAATCACATGGAGATCAGCCATATCCATTTTTTTTACAATCTATTTTATCTCTGAGAATGTAATTGGCTGTAATACAGATTATAAAGGTCACTGATCTTACCTCCAATGACCTCTTGTAACCTCAGAAGTTAAACTGAACTATATGGATTAAAAGTATATGATCATCAAGTAGTAATACAGTCAATTTTTACTTTTATAGGGAAATTAGTTGTTTTTTTAATTGCATAGAAAATCTTTATATCCATGTAAATTTCCTTATTAAAAGGAAACAAATTATGATTCATTTTCTCTTGTCTTTTACACAAGAAGGAATCTTAATGTCTTGTTTTTATTTTTGTTTGTTTCATTAGCAACAAAGCACCATCTCAACAGCAAGAGAAATTCTAAAGAAAGATGGGTTTGGTAACAAAGGCTTAAACAAAGGTCTTACATCAACTCTTGGTCGCCATGGTGTCTTCAACATGATATATTTTAGTTTCTATCATAATATTAAAAACATCTTGCCTGAAAAAGAGGTTAGTATAACATTTATGCTTTTTATCATACAAGATGCTGAAAATTTCTTAGTCCAATCAAGAAAGGAGACCCTCCCCAATCAAATCCTAATGGTTGCTTATTTGGTTAAGAATATGAATCAGGCTGAGAATTTTTCAGCACCTCTTAGTACAACTTGTATGTTTGTTACAAGATTTGTGTTATGGATATAAATTAATATAAGAAGCATCTTAAAGTATTCATGGATTATAAAGGATTATATTTATCTCCTAATTGATTAGGTGTGTTATATATCAACTTGTATACATCTAAATGTTTAAAATGAAAGATATTAATCCATGAAAATATATCTTTTTTTATCTAATACATATATTTAGGCAACATATCTTCATTCAAACTTGTTTCATTGACTAATATAGACATATTATGTCTATTTATTTTTATAATAATCCTTTCTAGTTCTCTAACCCATTTTGTGATATTAAGATGAAATTTATTATAGAAGGCGCTGTAGTTTTTTCTTACCCAAGTACTATTGATCTTCTTCAAGATTATCCACAAAGGCAAACTTATTTTAACTGTGATCATGATTTTTAAAAACACACATGGTTGTGCTCTGTTGTAATTATTTTAAAATTTAAATTTATCTGTGGAATTTTTTTTTAAATAGACATAATATGTGTATATCATTCATTTGAATATATATATATATATATACACTCAGTTATGTGCCATGCGTGATACACACTTAGGCGATCATGTATCTTTGATACATGACTGACAAAGCAGATTTTTTCCTGCAGTAAGTTGCCATTTCTTTCTACGGTAGACTAGTTGCCATCCAAGGCTATAGAACCTGGTCTGTCCTGCTATTTACCCATAGCTGGGAGGAGAAGAGGATTCATACCTTTCCCAAGAGTATTAGCATGTAAGTGAATGTAATGGATCTGATTGTAATTCGAACTTGGCACTGATTCCTCAATCTGAGCTGCTATCCATTACTTCACCATGCCTCTTATCCATATATATATATATATATATATTTAGCATAAATTGTAGATCAAAAAGATATTTAGGATGAATTATTTTTCTTATGGATAAATTATAGCAAATAAGATATATTTTTATCTATTTTTTATATACATACATGCACACATAATTCACTTTCATTTGTTGGTTTTTTGTATTAACAAGAATAGTGTGTGTGTAAATTATTTTACTCTTCAAATTCATTGAAAATTATTTTAATATAGAAATTCATTAGAAATTATTTATTCATTGTAATTATTTGTTAATGTTATCTTTCTTATCAGATGCAGAACTTATTTTAAAAGTTCATCCAAATATTATATCATTTTAATAATTAGTATAGTTATATCACAGTCACAAGTCCTGTAACATATTAGGATTGTTAGGGCACCACACATACTGCAGCTATAACAAGAGTAGATGTATTTAGAGTAAGATAGCCTGATTAGCTGTTTACATTTCTTTAAGACTGGCTTTGAATTCAGACTTTTCCTTTTAGACGAGTTGCTTTACTAAAACAAAAGACTCAGCTCTATTATTTACAGAGTTTAAATTCAAAGTTTTCCTTCTATTAGATTGACTGCTATTTCAAGGCAAAGTAGCTCAGTCTGCTTAGCTAGGGGAAGATGTCTTTTTCTAGGGTATTGGTGAATAAAATAGATGCAGTCAGAATTTGAACTCAAAATGCAGATTCCACTTTTTGAACCAATAACCATTAAGCTAAAGGTATATAGCAAATAAAAAAAGATGAGGTAAGAAAAAAATCGAGAGAGAGAAAGAGATGGTGAGTGAGAGAGAAAGAAATGATGAGAGAGATCATGTTCATGTGTGTGCACCATACAGATGAAAAATAAGAGTCCGGTTTGGTAATCAGTTGGAATTACACACACACAGCCTCTATATATCAAGTGTAGTTAATGTGAAACAGTTTTCCCTTTTCAGTTTATGAGAATAGTACTAAGCTTAGAAGATAAGTAAAGTCTGATAACAAAAGAGCAAGTATAAAAAAATGTCAGTGAGGACTGAACTCTACGATTCAGGACAGACACACACATCCAAAGTTATATAGATCGAAACACGCAGATACAGAGTGAAACATATAGACACAAACAGAACATGAATGGAAATTATTTTATTATAGAAATGCACAGCAAAATGCAGGAAAATCAGGAAGATTGGTATTTTCAATGGTCAGAAATTAGTTAAACTTTATTCATAGAATAGGTCTATTATAGGTATAATATAAATACATTGTTAATAGTTTTACTTTAAAAGTTCATTAGAAAACGAAAAGAAAAATGTGTCAGTGATCTGAAATGAATGCAAACATTATTGATAGAATAGGGATAATATATGCATAATATAAATGCAATTTGAATGATTTTACTCTAGAAATGCATTGTAAATCATCACAAAAGGGACTAAGTGGTCAGGAATGAATGCAGGCATTACTGATAAAATTATTATATTCATAACGTAAATCCATTGATCATGGTTTTAATGTAGGAATGTACAGATAATTAGAAAGAGATTGTAATGAGTCAGAAATGGAAGAAAGCATTATTGATAGAATATGGCTTTTATATGTATGATATTTATTCCTGACAACAGTAAAACTTCCAAATAGTTTTTGCATCAGTTAGAAAATAATTACCAAACAATTTTGTTTTGTTTCCTAAATGGTTAATTTTATAATTAATCCATCATTTTTTTTTTTTCATAGGATAAAACTGTTGATTTTCTTCAAAGGTTTACAATTGGCTTTCTATCTGGAGTCATTGGATCTTGTACAAACATTCCTTTTGATGTTGCTAAGAGTCGAATACAAGGACCACAACCAGAAGCTGGTGTCATTAAGTACAAGACATGTTTCCAGACAATAAAACTTATATACAAAGAAGAAGGGTGAGAATGCATTGAATTTTACAAACTATGTAGGAACAAACAAATCTTAATAAATTTTTATTAATAGAACATGAAAGACACGACTTAGCCCCTTACAGTAACTATGATTGTATTATTTCACATATTTGTGCGTATATGTGAAAATTAAATAGAGGAGAATTTTTCTTGTATTTTTTAAATATATAACATAGTAGCCTTAATTTTTATTACCCTCCTCACATGCACTTCCAAAAATCACAATGATGAGACCCATGTAGTTAATCTCTCCTATGATCTAACTGCAACAGCTTGATGAGAAGAAAAATGGCTTCTTAATACCACAAAAACCAAGCTAGTATCCTTTCATCACCACTGATCAGACACTGTTTTCTCCATGATGCTCCATGCTTTCAATGTCTATTGGGTCTCCAGTTTAACCCAGACTTCAGATGGAACTGATATATACAATCTTTTAGTAAAAATTCAGAAAAGATGGTCAGTATTGTTCCTGAAAATACCTGACTCCTTCTGCGATGTTTTATCTTTACATGAGTCAGAAAGCCAAAAATGGAGTATTGCTACCATATCTGGGATGGATCTACTTACTCCTCCATTTTCAGCCTTGATAGGAGTTCAAAGGCTTTTACTCAGTCTTGTGGGTAAAAACTTATTCTTCACTCTGCAGTTACTTTCTCTCAGATGAAACATCACACACCTACAGCTATTTTATTGCTATTTCCATGGCAAATGTTCAGATTAGCTCTATTCTTTAGGTCAGCAGCTAAGAAAGTTGGTTCACTGTGCCATATGAGACATTTTTTTTCTCCAGAACCCATCTTATATATCTATGTCTACCATTCATCCATGTTTAGAATATTATTGCCACATACTGTCCGGGATCGCTGCTATTTATCTTGAGCTCCTTGATAAAACTCAAAAATATCAGCAATATTATTGGTCCTATTCTGGCATCTCAACTTCCATCACTTTTCTACCCCTGTAAAGTTACCTCTCTGTGCTTTTTCTATAAATACTTTCATGGTAATTGTTCAGATGAGCACTTTGCTATTGAACCTAGACATTTTGTATTTAAGTGCAGTACTAGATTGGCATCAAGATCTCATCAATTTATAATTGAGCTGGCTAGATGTAACTGTAAATTCTATGATAAGTTTCATTTCTTGCTTTGGGTTCCATGCTTTCCAGCCAACTTTAATCTGCAAAAATTTAAATGCAATGTCAATTGCTATCTACTTTCCTCCTGATTACTCTCTTCTCATTCTGCTCATCATTAATGTTTCTGTTCCTAATTCTTTGACACTCTGTAACCCCTTGTGTCTTAGTAGTGGCTTTACTGCTTTGCATGGGGTGATACCAATTCACAAAAAAAAAAAGTTTCACCAGTTTGGATCTTTACAGCTACTTCCATGGACTTGAATCACACTCATTTCCCCCTGTATTCCAAATGTAAGAAGCAAGTTCCATTCAAACAGCTTTTTTGCTACAACCTACTACTTTGTGGATTAGACTCCCATGTGGATGCTTTCCATAACCTCTTCTAGCCAAGGGTTGGTTGTTACCTATCTTCCTCATTATAATATTCACTTCCTACCATCTCCTCTTTTCCTTCATATCATACACCTTATTCATCATAGTTAACAGTAACCTCGTATTGGGTGAAATTTAGTATAAAATATATATACAGAAAATGTAAAATTACAACAAAAAAACATACTTCTAAATAGTCAATATCTGATTGTCCCTTCCCACAAAAAATAATTTAATTTTTGTAATGCTTTGATGTTTATTCATATAATTCTCAAATATATGTATCCAAAATTATATTTTTAATACAGATATCTGTCTGTTTCTCTCTCTCTCTCTCTTTTTATTCCATCCATTTTTTGTTCAAACTTCTCAAGTTGGTTTCTTATTGATTTGCCCTGTTTCTCTTGACTTTCATGAGGCAAGACATCTTGGAGAATTTAACTTAAATGTGTTAAATTCTTTAAACCATCTTTTCTCAGTATATGTCCACAAAGTTTCAGCTCTTTCTGGCTGTTAGTGGCAGTTTCTGTTCTACTTAAAACTATCCAGTTATTCTTATGCTTCACCTATGGTATTCTCAGCAAAACAAGATCTCTGTCAATTCAAGACTCTATTTCGATTGTCTAGCATTCACTACCATTTACAAGATTAGATATTTAATTGCACTTCAGCACTCTTTTCTTTGATTCTAGGGACACTTTTTGATTCCTTAATACCAGGTTCAGTTACTAAAATAATTTTTGATGGAAATAATTTTAAAACCCTCACATTTAATTTAGTTGGTCACTTAACTACAATTGTTAAATACCAAGTAAGAATCAAACTGATTAAAATAGCACAAATTCACCTAGTCCTGCAAGTGTGTGTGTAATTTGTACTTCTCTGTTACTAATTCTTTCTATCTTGGCATCCTTTAGTCTGGGGAACCTATGACATATACTGAGAATTTAAAACAAATATTTTTTAATATTTTTCATTCAGATGCTGGTGTACAGCACAACTTTACCAACTCAGCATTGTTGAGCAGACATGAGTGTCTTCTCCAGAAGACAAGCCTGGATAGGATTGTTTTATGAGAGATTGGCAGTTGCTCATGCAGCATAATTCAACTCTCCATGCAACTGATATTGCCCAAGGAAAGGACAGGGGCCAATACTGCTTAGCACTGATGTCATTGCAGGAGATGCTAGAACAAGGTTGAATGCAATGTTGGACTGTCTTTGGCACTATAGCTCCAGGTTCTATCCTCGGAGTTTATTCCCAAAGCCTTACCCATTATTTGGTAGAGCTGCAAGACAGTGGAGGTTTGATATCAAATGTTTTGCTTTCTTAGATAGACTTCCCTCTCAGACTAATGAGTTCCATCTACCTGATTTGATTATTATCTCTTCTATTGCATATCTATATATGCATTTTAAATATATCCATTAAAAATTATTTTTATTGTTGTTTAAAAAACTGAATACTTTGTGTCTCTTGACTATTGAATTTTATTTAAACTTATTTGAGATATAAATTCTGATTATTGTATTTCTTTACAGCTGATTATCTTAAATTTTGAATAATTCCTTTTGTGGAAAAAAGTATACAAACTTTATATAACACTTTTTAGATCACTTTTTTGTTGTCAGGAGGGAAAAGAAATTTAAATGTTTTCATTCTTAATACAATTTTTTAATTGTGTTAAATATCTGACAAACTCTAATTATACCATTATATACTACATAAGTAAAATCTAAATTTTTATATTGAATCAAGACAGCAGTGATTATTAATAGGGAGGGTATCTTGTTTATAATCTTTTTATTTTATACAGTATAAATATGCAATTATTTTTATATTTATACAGTTTTTATTTTATTTTCAGATATTTGGCCCTTTACAAAGGACTTGTTCCTAAAGTTTTACGACTTGGTCCAGGTATTTTCATTGCTTTTGTTACAATTGCTTATCAATACACATTATGGACTCTCCCATCAATTTTTGACATATGAGGATCTGACAATCTCACTCAGTTTTTATGTTTATGCTGTATGTGACACTTCAGTTCAGCTAGTGACCAACATACAAGTCCACATATTGTGCAGTAGTGAGAATCTTAGGACATAGCCCCATTTGCTGATGCTTTTTTGCCTTTGATTTTCATCTCATAGCCAGTCAATAGGAAGAAACCAGTTTAGGAGACCAAGGTATGGTGGCCAAAGTAGCCAAAATTTTCCAAAAGAAACCAGTCAACTAGACCAAAGTATGGTGGCTGACAGTGGCCAAATATCAGCAAGTAAGATCTCCAATGACAAAAATGTAGTGGGCAGAGAGACTCCCTCATGCTGGAATTCCCTGCTCAAGTGTAAGATCAACATGATAGAGTTCCTGGAGAAAGCCAAGAGCTACGCACATCTGGTGACAGCAGATGGGCTCTTGTGCAATCCCGTGGAACTTAAGAAGGTTGAAAAAAGAATTGTCAGTTTTTGTGGTGGACAAGTGTTTGCACAAAATTTGTCGCTCCACAAAAGACACTGTCATAAAAGCCTTGACTTCTCTGGGGATTAAAGCTCAGAGGGTCATTAAAGGGAAAGCTTTTTTATGTGGGACGTACTGTTACCCACGCCTGCCGACTGTGAAGCTGCTACTACTCGTGATCTTATCACAAAAGACCTTATTTTGTGGACCGAGTATGAAGGCAGGTGTAGGACCAAGGTATCAGATTGTCAGACAGCATTTAGCAGCTTATGTCCCAGTTTGGGTAGATACTTAGTGCTTCCTGGGACGATCTGACCGGGGGATAGTTTCAAGTTGATAATTGATAGAAAGGCCTTCATCTCCATCCCCAACTGTCTGGATGTAGAGGGCCAGAAAATGCTGATAATAGTAACAGGGCGTAAACTGGCATGCTGGAAGTGTGGACAGACTGGTCACCTGTCCTTTTCCTGCGCAGAGAAGAAGGCCTCTGATGTTCTGGTCCCCACCCAACCAAACCCACCTTTGGTTGAGTCTGTTCAATCCATCATGCCTGTAGTGGGCATGTCAGCTCTTGGGACCAGTGTGGTGAAACCCCCAGTTAGGTCCAAATCTCAGCCCCCATTCCCCGAAAAGCCTTTACCCGCTGCCAGTGCGGTTAGGGAGAGGGGGAATGGCAGGTCGTTGGCAAGGCAAAAGGGAAGACCCAGGCAGCGGGACCACTTCTAAAACAGACAAAGGCACAAACAGCCCCACTCCCTCAACCAGTGCTACTTGGAGAAACTTCGAAAAAAGATGATCCAGTATGAGCTGTCTTTCGAAAAAAAGGAGAAATTACTTCTTAATGAGTCATTAAAATCAAAAAGACAAGATTTGGAAAGGAATTCTGGCATCTCTTTTTCGGCACTGTCTTCCCCTGTCACAAAAAATCATCCCATGGTCCCTCCCCCAATTGTCAAATCATTAAGTCAAGTATCATCTAACATGACCACGCTTAAGAAGGGTCCTGTGACCAAATCTCCATCCAAAAAATCATCTCCCATTCCATCCCCAAATCCTTCCCCTATGCAACCACCCATTAAATCACCTCAAAAGCATGAACAACAAAAATGGCAAAGAAGCCCATCCTCTGATTTATCAGAGCCCACAATTGAGAAGAAAATAAAGCCAAACCCATTTACAATACAGGGGAAGACGTGTGCTGCGTCTCAAAAGATCAGGAAGAAAAGGCGTTAATGCATGCCAAAAAAAAATGAAGAACTTAGAAGCCGTGTTAAACTTCCAGAAAATAAAAAAAAATTTAGATGTAGAGAACCCTCAAAACTTTCCCAACACCAAGAGGGTCCTCACTGGTGTCACCAGCCAACAAATATGGTCAGTAATGGCCGAGGCTAACGAAACTTTTGCTATATTTCCTCCAATGTCATGTTTTGATGACGAGAACGTTAAAAAACTACAACAGTATTGTTCAGGAAGGTTCCCGATTTTTGTTCACCCCTCCCCCTATATAGAGCTCTAAAGCTAACTTTCCCCTCTGGACATTGGCATCCTGTCTCCTGATGGCACCATCAAGAGTGAGATGGGTACTGGCTCAATGGGAGAGGCCGTCAGTATCCTAACCCCGGCCATGTTCAATGCAGGAGAACAACCCTAATCAGTTTCACCATGGCTCTCTGGTTAGCAAGTGTGAATGCTTGAGGCCTGAGGTCAGAGTCTCACAGGACGAGGCTCTCTTGTGACCTTCAGCATCTTGGGGTGAATATATGTTGTGTGCAAGAGACCCGTTTTTCTTCTCACGACTCTGAGGGCATTCTGCCTAGGGGGTTTTCCCTCTATTCAGCATGTTTTGATGGACTTTTGAGGGGTGTCTCTTGGCTAGTGAGCAAGTCTTTGAAGGCTGTGTGTGTTCTTGTCTTCGTGGATCTGGCAGGCAGACTTTGCGTGCTGGATGTTACCATAAAGGATAAGGCTCTTCATCTCATTGGGGTTTATGTGCCCAATATCCATTCTGAGCAGCCTGCTTTGTTTTGGCAGACCAAGCCATTTTTGACATCATTGCGTCGGGTAGTTTTAGTGGGCGATTGGAATGCCGTTCTTGATCCCGATATAGATTGTATAGGGCCAAATTCGGGTACTAACAACCGGGACGTGAAACCATTTCGGGACTTTATTGACAGGTTTGATCTTGTTGATAAGTACCGGAATGAACACCTTTGGGAGGTAGTATGGACTTGGACTAATAGTGGCGGCTCGGCTAGTTATCTAGACCGAGTTTTAGTTAGGAGAGTCGATGTAGGGCTCTTAGGGTGTCCAAGTTTCCATGAGATAGTTTATTCGGATCATAGGCTTGTCCGGGTCCGTGTAAACTTAGATAAGTCTAAGGTTAGGATGGCTGGCTACTGGAAATTAAACTCATTATTTGGTGAGCAAGATTTCCGGGACCAGCTGCTACTAATGATACAGAGGGAACTGACGGATGCGGTTATGGAAAATGCCTGGTGGGATAATTTAAAATCCAAAATTTGAACATTTGCTGCTGATTATAATCATTGGCTCAATCTAGATAGATTAGCAGCGCAAACAGCTTTAGAGCAGAAAGTTTATTGGGCGGTCAAATCCCATGATAGTGGGGACGTAGCTTTAGCTAAGGCAGAGTTGGCCTCCTTGCTTATCAAGAAGGATCAAGCTCTGGTAGTTAGGGCTAGGTTAAAAAGAATGTCCTCTGAGGCAACGAATATGGCCAATGAATTGCGTGCAGAGGAAGCTTGCATGCATCACATTGCCGGATAAGCAGATCGGGACTACAAACAAGGGCATATGTGAGGCTTTTCATGAGTACTTTGAGGAGATTTTCACCAGAACGGTCTGAGTTCTGCTCAGTTCGACGCCTATTTAACTGACTTCCCAGGTCTTGAGGCAGCTGAAACGGCTAGGTGCAAGGGTCCCATTAGTGTTGGAAATCTGGGAAGCGTTGAAACAGGTTGGCCTGGACAAATCTCCGGGATTAGATGGTCTTCCGTACGAAGTGTACTTGAGGCAGTCACCTGTTTTTGTTACGTTGCTGGCACTGATTTTCGGCAACTGGATGAAACAAGGGTCTATATCCCAACACTTCACCAGGGGCATGATCAAGTTGTTACACAAGGACAAAAATGGTGGGGATGAGTTAGCTAGCTTTTGCTTTTTAACGATGTTAAACACAGAGTTAAAGATTTTGGCTAAGATCTTGGAAAACCGTTTGCAGACTGTCCTGTCTAGTCTGATTGGCTCCAAACAGACTTGTGCTGTAAAGAGTAGGACTATTCAGGACAACCTTCATATGGTACGCCTGATCATTGAGCAAGTCGACAGTGAAGCTGCACTGATCAATTTAGATCAGTCCAAGGCCTTTGATAGAGTTGACCATCGATTTCTGGAGGCTGTTCTTTCGGCGACCAGTTTCAGGCCGTACTTTCGCACCTGGATCTGACTTCTGTATGCACTGGTGGAGATAAATGGGGTACGATCGGATGTTTCAGTTCTTGTGTCGAGCAGGGCTGAGATTGACGAAGACAGCAAAGAAATCAGTGGTTATGAGATGGTGACAGGGGCCAAGATCAACCGCGCTAAGTCTGTTGGCTTGCGGTTGAGTGCGTGGAAGGGAGTTCTCTTCCTGAACCTTTCCTCTGGACGGATGGGCCGGTCAAGTTTCTCAGTGTCTGGTTCGGTCCTGATCTCCAGTTGGAAATGAATTTGTTGGATGTGCGAGGGAAGGCTGAGATTGCAATTAATTTGTGGTCTTAGAGGAATCTTTCCTTAAAGGGGAGGGCAGAAGTATGTGTTTCACACATCTACCTGATTCTCCTTTACCAACTCTCTGTATTTCCACTTCCGTATGCCACACTAATGTCATTAGTAAGTCTCTTGTTCTCTTTCTTGTGGAGAGACAAGGCTGCTATGTTATCTTGGGAGATCTGTTGCCTTCATCCATCTGAAGGCGGTTTGGGCATGTCAAGCATTGAGAATCGTCAATATATACTTCACATCGGCTTTCTAGATTGAATGTGTTGCGAAGTAGATGAGGAGGGCACTTCTGGAAGGAAGACGCCCGTAAGAACTTCCCATCCCTGAGAAGTGTGCACTTGTGTGAGGAGGGAGCCCACCATTTACCCCAAGCTGAATGCTCTTTCTATCACGGATGTCGTATTGCTCTGAAACACCTCTGGTGGGCATCGGATGGCCTCTTCAATGTCCAGGCATTGTCTTGTAGGGCATTATATCAAGTGTTAGTCAGGGGGGCCGTGCCTGATGAGCTGATTGATGAGCTCGGTCTTACGATGCAGGAAGCTTGCTCAATATGGCCTTGGGCGCCCAGGTTGAAATGTCTCAATAACGATGAGGCATCACTGACCTGGCTGGTGATTCGTGGGGCCCTCTGGGTTGCCAAAAGACTTTGCTCAGCGGGCTTGGAGAAATCTCCAAACTGCCAACGCTGTGGTGGGGAGGTCACCTTGGGTCACACCTTCTTTCATTGCAGGATGGTAGTGTCGTTGTGCAAGTTTGTTGAAGGCCTCATGGTCTGCATGCTGCAAGGAAAGTTCTTTGTCCTTGAGGCCTCTTCCGTTTTTGGCAATGTGGCACTGCCGCTGACAAAGGCTGAACAATATGTGTTCCACTGCTTGCTAGGTATTATGAGAGTTGTGATTTGGACAAGTCAGAAGGGATTCTAAGGAGGCGAGAAGTTCACCTCTTCCCAACTGATCTTGTACTTTGAGCATCAGCTTAAAGTCAAGATTAGGACAGAAAGGAGGTGGCTCACTTCATCAGAATTCAGCAAAAGGGGGATGAATCTTGCGTGTTTGTGTTGTGTGAAAGGGGTTGACTTTGAGTGGCACATTGATGCCGGTTAGGCATCAGGATATTGCTCTTACTGGGTTGTGCAACCCATCCCGAAACTAGGCTAGGTTAGGTTTACTTTTGATGCTTTAGTTTCCTTTTTCAGTTAACTTAGCTAGGGTATGTATGCTCATTGGCCCCTTTTATTTTTGCCCCTATTTTTCTTTAAGTTTAATTCCCCATCACCTCCCTCGTTAGGTGGTCAGTAATGTCAGTTCGTTGGTGGATGCAGGGCGCCTTTCGTTTTGCATGAGTGTTTTTTCATATTTGTTGTTGTGTCTGAATAAGTGCATGTCTGTGTGAGTGCTTGGGATGAATGAATGTTTTATACTATTATAATCCCGTATTGATTTTGGCCAGTTAACTGATATTTCTGCCACATTTAGTGATTGTGGGAGGTTTTATTACTAATATTATTTTCTTTAGTTTTTTGTAAATAATTTTGTATTCATATTGTAAACACTCATTGGGGCTAGTTTTTAGAATTGTTGTTTTATTCCCCCCCCCTCCCACAGACAATGAATTGTAAATATGGGGATTAGTTAGTATTTTCATAGAGACAGTGAGGTATTATGGTGGTTATAGTAAGAAAGGTACATATGAAATTGTTGTTTTAGTATAAGGAATATTGCTTGTACGATTGGGTCAGTGTTTGTGGCTAGCTAAGTTATAGTTAAGACAGAAGAAGACCATCCTTTCCCCGCCCCCCCTTCAGCCTTGTGCCACATTTCTGTATTGCACAGAATAAATATTGCTCTTTGCTATGGTACCTAGACTTTTAGAATTTAAGTGCAGTACTAGACTGGCATCAAGATCTCATTAATTTACAGTTGAGCTGGCTAGATGTAGCTATAAATTCTATGCTGACAGTGTCTCATATTTCTTGCTTGGGGAATTCCCTTTTGGTACCTGCCAACTTTAATCTGCAAAAATTTAAATGTAATATCAATTGCTATCTACTGTCCTCTTGATTACTCTTTCCTCTTCATTATTAATGTTTCTATTTCTAATTCTTCCACACCCTGTAACCCCCTTGTGGCTTTACTGCCTTGCATGGGGTGATACTGATTAAAAAAAAAAATCTTACCTATGGTAACACAATTCACATAGTTTGCCTGAAGCAAACATGTTATTTTTATTTGTTTTAATTTATATTTTTCATTGTTTGTTTTTATTTTTGATACATATATTGATTTTATTTTCATATTTATTAAATTCATTTTCTTATTTTCTATAGTTACATTTTCTTTCAATTTCAGGTGCTGCTATTATGATGATTGTTTATGAAAATGTCTTCCAATGGCTCAAAGAAAAAATATGAAAAAATCTTTGAATAATTCCACCAGAATCTGTGATTTAAAAAATCTAAAAACTCATGGAAAGAAAATTTTAAGCATTTAATTATTGAATTTTTCAGTTAATCTTTATACAAAACAGAAAACTTATAACTTTTAACAACCCTGTGGCCTGTTCGGTCACATTTCAAAAACGTTTTATGGAAAAAAACATAACTGAATTCACTCCTTAAATTACACAAATCTTTTGTATATTATGCATAAAAATGGAAATATTTTTCACATACAGATTTTGGCAAAGTTGAACCTACATGCCTACAAAAAAAAAAGGTGTGTCAAAAGTACAGTTTCTCATTTGATGCTGCTATTAGTTTAACTACTTTCACTCCTCAGTAATGTTTATTTCTTTGAAAAGTGATGATTAGAATGGAAATGAAACCTAATATATGAAAGTGAGTTTATACATCTTTTTACTTGAGAATTTACAGCAAATATAATAAATTCTTTTTGGTCAAAAGTCACTGTTTAGAATAACTTGCTGGTCTTAATTCAATTACTTTGAAATGAAATGTTATGTTTTTGCTTAAATTTAATTTTTGTTTTCTTGATTTTCTGCAATGTTTTCCTACCTTTGCTTGAATGTTTATTTATGTTATATATATATATACCTACTCTCTGACAAACAATATGGATTCTGTTTTGCCTGGCCTACTGCTGACATGCTCTTGATAATAATGGTGAAGCTTGATTTGTAGATCTAGATATCTCAAAGGCATGTGACCATGTTTGACATGCTGGTCTTCTATGTAAGGTGCAGGGCTATGGTATTACAGGACAATTGTTTGATTTAATCCAATCATTCTTATCGAATCATGAAATGAAGGTTGTTCTGAATGGGCTCACTTTGACATCCTTTCACATGAATGTGGGTGTACCCCAGGGTTCTATCCTGGGTCCTACGCTGTTTCTGATTTTCATCAATGATCTTCCTGATGTCATCAGTTTCCAAGTAGGAATTTATGCTGATGACACTACCATTTACTCCTGTCTCAATAACAAATCTGTCAGAGCTAACAAAGTTAACCTGGTACTGCTCTTGAAAAGGACCTCCAATCAGTGGTTAACTGGAGCAGGAAATGGCTCATATATTTTAATGCCTTCAAAACTAAACTGCTCTCATTTAACCATCATAGAGATACTTCCCCACCTACCACCAGCATGCCTGATGCTTAACTCCTGGAGAGCATCTCACTGTGCCTTCGTGGCTTCACTTTTTCAACTGACTTGGAGTGGAACAACTACAGTGAATCAATAGCTGTATCTACTGCAAGGAAAATTGGTTCATTGTGTCATCCCAGAAGGTCCATCTTGCACATTTACAAATCTACCATTTGGCTGTGCATTGAATACTGTTGTCATATCTGGTCTGGTGTCATCATCTCAAGGTTCTTGACAAAATCCAAAAAGGATCTGCAATGTAATCAATCCTGACTTGGCATCTCGACTTCAGTCACTTTCTGACAGATGTGATGTGGTTTCCCTCTACCTATTCTATAAGTATTTTTATGGCAACTGCTCTGACAAGGTTTTTTTTCCTTGGTGTTCCGACTACATGAATTTAAATGTAGATTGGCATCTAGGTCCCACTCTTTTACTATTGAAATAGTTAAATGTAACCACTACTTCCACTTCAACAGTTTTTCTCGCACTTCCTGCCTATGGAATTCCTTTCCATTTACTTGTTTCCCTGATTACAATCTTCAAAAATTTAAATGCAATGTCAATCGCTATGTTCTATTTTCTTGAACCCCATTCATCTTTTATTCTTTCCTCAATCCCCTCTACATCCAGTCTTTTCTTTTACTTTCACTCTCTGTAATCCATTGCACGCTAATGGCATTCCTACCTTGCTTGTGTTGAAATGATTAAAAAAATATAAATTGGTTGGCCTAATATCAGCTAATTTCCAATCTATTTGAATGTTATAGAATGATAAATATTAAGGATTTTCTTAAAGTTGGTTCACATATTTTAATAATTTCATAAATGTTTATAAATTTATGAATAAAAAATTGTTTTCATATATTTCTTTATAAATTGGTAAATGATGGATATTGCATTGCATTAGTTTTGTGTTAGTTTTTAGAATGTTGTAAATATAAAATTTTTCTGGTAAATAAACAATCTAATAAATAGTATTTAATAATTTTGTTGTAAATTTTCAAGAACAAACAAAATGTATAAGTTCACTTTAATCATATGTTTAGGTTTTATTGTAATTCTAATTTTAAAATAATAAACATTGCTGAGGATGAAAATTAGCTAAAATAATTATGGTGTCAATGGAAAACAGTACTTTTGACACTATTTCTTTTGTGGGTACAAAAATCTAACTTTGCTCAGATTTTTTATTCATATGCAAATAAATAATGGTTAGTATTCTATAATTAGCATTTAATATTTGTTTATTTTTTTTTTTTTTTTACTTTTTCCCAAACAAAAGTCTACAATATTATCAATTACTTACAAATCACCAGATTATTATTATTTTATTTTTTGCTTTTTTAAGTTAATGAATTTTAAGTGTTCATTAATAATAGATGTAATGACAAAATATGAATTTTTGACTACTTGTACATTACATAGACCTATTTCTATTATATAGAGATTCTTTAAAATTTAAACAATTTTAATAATTTTAAATCTCTTTTAAAACTCTAAATGCTTTATTACAAATTTAAAAATTCTGCTCTGATATTTTTATATTTTATTTTTATAAGCAAACAGAATAAGCACACTAATAAAAAAAGAAGCATAAAAAATAATAATTGCACTTATATTAATCATATGAATTTTACATGTAACAAAAAATATTACAAAGACTATATTATTAAATTTACAAACATTTTTTAGTAATTTTTGGTAGACAACGATGCTTTTTCTATAAATGAAGAGCACATATACATATATAAAACTTGCATGAATATGTAACATCCCATTTTTGTCTATATTGAAAGAATTTCCCTTTCAACTAATTGTTTCTATTATATGTAAATGTACACTTGTAAAAGACAAAAAAATTTCCATTTGAATTTTAATGTGTTCAGAATCCAGCTGTAAAGATGGGCAGGATAATAAATTGTATTAATATTTTACAGAACTATAACAAAAGAGATGCAAGCCTCTTGTTGCTCTATCACTATTTTTATGACATGTCTTCTGCTGAGCTACATTCATTAGTTCCACCATCCCTGACCTTTACGAGTAGGACCTGCCATACCACTTCCACAAGAGTGAATCATCATTTCTTTTGTATCCCAATAGTAAAAGTTCTTCCCAAGAACTGCTGCTTTGTGGAACATATTCCCAGCAGGATGTTTTCCCAATCACTTGACATTTTCAAGTCATTATCTTTCCTGCATAGCCTCATAAATTTCACTTTTTGCCTTTTCTTATATTCATTCAATGCCATACAGTAACTTACTGCCTTTAGTGGATCTTGGGTGATTATTAGCATAAAAAAAGAAAAATATCTATTGCTTACTTTTTTAGAAGTAATTTTAACAAATTTCATAAAAATCATTGTTAAAAGGTAAATAACATTAGTTTGTGATGATTTGGCAAATTTCTTATCTCATTACAAACTGATATCATTTCTATTTCAACAATGATTTTTTTAGACAAAATTTTAAATTACTGATGGAATCAACTCTTAGCAGTGTTTTAGCTTGTCTTAGAAATTTAGAGACTGGTTCCTTCAAAAATATTCCTAAGCAATCAACATATTTCCAATATAATGCTTTTATCAAGATACCTTTTCAAAACAATATTACCTGATTTTGCAAATAAACTAATTAACATCAAATGCTTATTAAAATTTATTAAACAGAAGCAAATAATATATTTGTTCAATGTTTTCTTAAACTGTAATGATAATGATCTAAAACTAAGTATCTTTTTGAGATGAATGGTATGCACATAAAAGTAGGAAGTGAAGATTATGAGATTATAGAGATTTGACACTAGATTTGAAGAGATTATAATTGTAGTGTTTGAGGAAGCAACCACTTGGGACCCTGTTCTACAAAGTAGCAGTACTTGTGAATAAGCTTTCTGAGTTAAACTTCCTGCTTACAAATGGAATATGAAGAGAATGAGGGTGATTTGACTCTCTGGATATAGTAAGGAATGAACTGGAGGAATTAAAGAATGGAGCATTTGCCAAAGAAATACCTATTGATTTACACTGTTGCTTCTTTGGGGAAGAAGCAGTAGAGTATATAATAAGTTATCACTGACAAGGTTGTATAAATAGTTTTGACTTCTGTTAAGGCTGAAAAGTTAGGCAGATATGGTAGCAATACTTCATTTTTGGTCTGATTTGACATTTGTAAAGATAGTGAATGGTAGGGAGTGTCAGGTCTTTCCTAGATCAGTACAAAGAACTTACCATTTTCCCAGTATCTTTGGTAATGGATCATATATATGAAATTTATTTGAGATAAACTTGAGTTTCAATAGTTGTTCAAAGCATGTAGCTTCATTGAAAGTGCAACTCTTCATTTCATCATTAATGGAGAAGATTCAAAGTCTGCTTGGTTATGATGGAACATTACTAGCTTAGTTCTGGAGGTATGCAATGTACAAGCCAGCTTTTATTCCATTGACCTTTTAGAGATAGGTCAGAGGAAAAATCTGAATTAATGATGTACATTTAATCTCACTTCAGAGATAAAAAGTTACATAATTTTTTTCTCCCGAAAAAATATATATATATATATATATATATATATATATATATATATATATATATATATATATATGCTTTTTTTAATATATGCTTGATGGAAAAGTTACCAGTATTATTTTTGACAAAATCTTTTATTCATATAAATTCATAACATGATTATTTAGTAAGCAAAGTATTTTCCCTGGTTTTCTATGATCTTTGATATTTACTGTGAAATTTATCATAAAAGAAAGATTCTGGTTTTGATTTGAGAAATTTTAAAATATTTTCAACATT